AGTACATCACTCCACAACGTGCACACGTACAGGACATTCCTCCACAATACATACACACGTTCACGGAGGACCTTCCTCCACAACACACAGGCACACACACGCACACAGACATTCACGGAGGACGTCACCACAACACACACACGCACACAGTTTCACAGAGGACATTCCTCCACAACACACACACACACGTGTTCACAGAGGACGTCACTCCGTGTGCGGGGAGCAGAGGACGAGAGGGTTACTTTCCCACGTCTCTGGCACGGCTGTGGCTTTGTGACCGGCCAAACACCCCCCGCCTGCTGTGCTCCACGTGAAGCGGTCTCTCCGTGGCCGAGTGGCGGGCAGGCTGGCACTTGGTGGCATCCCTAGGCACACTGTACCTCCGGTTTAAGAGCAGAAAGACGTCCTGGCCTCATTGCCTCTGCCCACTCGGTGCCCTCACTACCACCTGCCCTACTGGCCCCCACAGCCCTGTGACCTGCAGGGCGTCCACCTGCCACCTGGCCTCTGGATTTTGGACGTGGTGGTCTCATGATGTGTGAGCGACACCCTCGAGGAATTTCTCTGGGCGCACACGTCCCCGATCGCCCTCTCTCGGGCAGTCCTGGGGGAGAGGGCCGCATGTGCCGTTTCTGATGCAGACCCACAAGCTAGTAACGACACAGCATCAAGCCAGAGGGCAACAGGGAGGAGGCAAGGCAACCCGAAGCCACGTCTGGGGGAAGGGGTCTGCTCAGGTCTCCAGGGTCCCCTAAGATGGTCCGGGCACCACGCTCACATCAAGGTCAGCACCAAGCTCAGACTGCTGTCATCAAGGCAGAAATGACACAATCTGTGACAAGGACCACACGTGGTGGGGGACACCAGCACCTCTGGCCACACCCCTCACAGATGCCGCAGCCGTGCCCCAGCCCCACAGGGGGACATGAGGGCCCATGACCCCTGGGTGACTGCAGCTCAGAGGTCAGGTGGCACAGTCAAAGTCACGCTGCTTCTGAGGAACTGAGCAGCACGCCTGGACACGCAGATGGTCCAACCGCGAGCTGGCGGTCCGCTCCACTGGACACCTAGGGCCCCAGTTCCCCTCTGACACACACAGGTCACAAGGTGTCAACAGGATAGGCTGGCTGGGGGTGGAGTTACAGGGAGCAGTGCCTCAGGACAGAAGGGCCATGTCCTCCTGTGCGAGGACAGCTCTGGAAGGGGCCCTGCTCTGAGTCAGTTCCCACTCCACAGCAATGAGCAGCAGAGGCGTCAGCAGCGCCTGGAGGTGGAGGGGAGTGTCCTGCAGGACTTTAGCTCAGGGAAGACGCGAGATGGGGAGGAGGTCAGCACCTGGGGACGGAGGATGCTCTGAGGACGGACCACCACACACCCAGCACCCACGTACACCACACACACACACACACACACACACACACACCCTATCACCCCACCACACATCACACCCTCCAC